GGAGAATATCTCATCCTGTATCAGGCCGTACTTTCCCTCAGCCACTTGGTCGGAGAGCGTTTTCCTTTCTTCGTCGTCCTCCTTCTTGACCGCCTCCTTCCCTTCGCCCGCGCTCGACATGAGCATGCCATCGTCCCAGATGCCCTGGTTCCAGCCTACGGTGCCGCCCGACTGGTCCGGCGCGAGCACGCCATTGAACTTGCCGCTCGACGGCTTCTCTTCGAAATCGATCGAGTTTTTCGCGGTCCCGTACTCTTTTTCGGGCTTAATTTTCATGTGTCCGCCGATGAGACGCTTGATCGTGCGCTGGGACTCAGCGGGGTCAGAGTCCGGCGCGCCGAGGCTGCGCTGGTCGCGCACGAACGAGTCAGGCGGCAGCACGTAGGTGGGCACGAGCACGCTGGCGCGCGCCTTGCACGCGACGGCCAGCGCCAGCACCAGCGCCAACGCCGCCCCTCTCACCATCTGAAAGTTTAGAAAACAAACTATTATTAATTATTTCATTTGCCGAACGATCAGCACACATGTTGTCGGAACACTTATCTAAGTAGGGCCGTCTTTGTTACTGAAACTCGCGCGGGCGGCATGAGCGAAGTGAAAGGTCCGCGGAGACAAAAGCGGCGGGCAGTAATTCTGGCACTGGCGAGCCGCGCGCCACCACCCGCCTTTTATCAAGTTTTACTGCGCGACCACCTCCGACCCGATGGCATTGAGAATCAACCGTTTAATTGGAAATTGAATGGCGAATAATGCCAGCGACACAGGAAGGCCGCGAAGCCTAAATACGAAAAAATCGAGCTGTCATGCCGAATTTAAAAATTAAGTCTCATTCCGCTAGAATGTTCATCGGGCTTGATTGCAGCGACTAATGAAATGTATTTGGAAATGATTATATTTTTCAGTTTCAATCAGCACGAGGCGACGCAACGTAATCTTCCGCGCGGAGTCACGAAACAACGTTCTTATTATAAACGGTTATTGAGCGTGCATAATCGCGTCTGTATACAATGTTGTCGAGTTTAGGTGTCGCAAGCTTGTAGGTGGGATGTGACAAACCTGCCGTGTGAAATTGAATTGACGTTATAAATTATGATTACGGCTAAATAGGTCATCTACAACAGCCGTAGGAAAGCGCTGCGAAACCGTCTAACTAACGAAACGCAAACAACCACAATGGTTGTTGCAGAACATTAGGGCAGTGAAGGCAAAGTCACCGGTGTCCGCTGGGCGTGCCAGGGCTCCGTGAAAGGCACGGTCACCTAACTAGTTCGATTTGCTTTCGATAAGCCTCGCCGAGCTTTGTAATTGGGCTCAACTATGCACCGAAAGTGTACCGACCCGGGCGCTGCGCACGCGCCGCTCTGCACTCCAGCGACGTTTTAATTGGCCGCTGTCACGTTGACCGACTCCGATTGCCAATAGCTCGTAAACGTTAGTTTCGTCCACTACAGTTACAGTTGTCGGGGGAGGCAGATCTCTTTGTCACGTGCTCCATAATGAATGACCTTGATTTAGTTAATAAACGTTTGTGTACAGCGTCGCGGGCGGTGCGTTGCGCAACTGTTGCGAAACGCCCACCAGTTGTTTGCTTTTCCAAACCATTAACAGTTTATTCTACAATATATCAATACCCCGTTGCATTATTTTGCAATGCTCGCCCGCACCGCTCGAACCTTAAGATCGGCGCTAATCGACATTTGCGCATCCTCTCATTCTCCAGTTAGTACTAGTTAGCCTTCGTAAAAATTGTGTCGCGATTGTCTCGATCCGACAACGTTATAAAGTCGCCAGCATTGTTTTTGTAATTATCCGACATGAGCGATTGAAACTAAGACAAGACAGCGACCTTGCAGCGGCAAGGTGCCCGATTTTTTTGCGGTCAGTACAAAACGTGAAGTGATTAACAAACCACTGGTTTGCTGGGAGTGTCGCGGTCTCGCTTACAACAATGCTGGCCGCGATTCAAAAATACGATAAAACAAAATTCATTCATCTAACAACGTGGGCTAATGTAAACGATGGAACATAAGTTTTAACATATCGAAAGGTTATGTATCCTAAATGTCAAATATTCCGCAAGTGACATCATCTGCCCTTCAGTATGCGCAGCCATTTGCACTCTCAATCTTCCTTTTAACTTAACTACAGTTGAAGCTTTCTTTTGGCTTCGTTAAAACAGTGTTGGGAAACATTCAAGTGATGCATTGTTGACGATTTGTATTCAATGCTCGTTCGGCGAGTGACTTTCCATCGGCCTTTGTCTGCCAACAAATTCAAGCACCAGGATATGCTCGTTTCATTGAGTTTCACGCTTTCCAAAAAACAGTGGTCACAAAGAGTTAACAGAGCAATCAAATCGAAAGAAAATATATGCTTTGCACATAGAAATTAAGCATTTCGCTATTTTACTGTAACCAATATGTTTCTAGTATTCGTCAACAAACGAGAGCTAGATAATTATCGTAACTGCACAAAACGGGGCCTATGCAGCTAGCAAGTAATTGCATGCATTGATCTCCTTGAGTTTGCGGAACGACGGAAACCTAGCTATGTATATTTATTACGGCCTACCGCTAGTTATAACCTGTGGCAAGCGTTTGTTGGCCACTCCTTAATGCCGGGGCGCACTTGTCCGCCAGACATAAACGACAAACTTGCGCAATCAATAAGAATGAGTTCAGCCGATAATCAATAAATACTAACCCTACGCTGCATGCCAATGTGACCTCTATATTCGACAGCGTAAGACTAAAAACACGTGTGTTATTAGGCTAGTTAGTTTGTCGCCATATTCGTGGTCTTTCGCAAGTGTAACGAATCGCCAAGTGTGGCATTGGAACCCCCAAGCGTTACAAATTGTACCATTATGCTCCGTCCTTACATGGCGAGTATATTAAAAGTGTAATACGACTATCATCGCATAACGGGCGCGTGCCACGAACATTTGTTATATTAAAAAGCCTTAGAACCGCAGCGGAGGTAACCAGATCGAATGGTAATAGAGTTTGCGCGCACGCATCATTAGCACCATTAGGGCTGAGGCGTGACTAGCTTATTTGTCATCATGTCTAGTTTTATGTGTATTGTTTTTGAATGGCATGCCTATGTTAATTGCAAAATTAAATTATTTAAAGTATTTCACGTCATTGCAAAACAGTTATGAACTTTGATGTCTTAAGATTAAAATTGCGAGTTGATAACCCTGCAGATGCATTCGGCGCGTGCCGTCCTGATTGATGTACGACCTCAATGCTATTTATCTGTATCGTGCGTACCCAACTTTTGTTTAAACCCAAAATTAATGGTCCCACATTGTTTCTGTTCCAAGTTTATTGTTATTCTTAAATCGATCAACATTTCGCAACTAACCCTGTTATTAATGATCACAGCTGTTATGAATAAACGTTAATGAAATGATCGCCTAGAGCTAGTAGAATGGATTGATCAGAAAATTACATGCGACTTAATGTATCGGTTACGAGGAATGTTGTATCGGAAAATGGTTGGTAAGACGTCTAGGATGCATCTACGTAAAAGGTTAGACGCTATAAATGTCGAGTTGATGCCATTTGTGCTATAGAATCTCAGAATTGCTAATAGTGTCATGGTTTGGTGCATACGTTAGCTCGAGGCCAAGGCGACCCCATCCCAGCACTGCAGGTTGCTGCAACCAGTTTAAGGTCTGTAGGGTCATCGTCTAGTTGCGTTATGTCATCAATGCAGTTCTCTCGCGAGCCTCCATAGTCTAAAGCGGCCTTGCATGTTAATGTGGGAAATCTTTTATAACGTCTACAACTTGTTAGCTCTAATTTGTATTATCAGATTTAAAATATACGAATGTTTTAGTAATTTTACGCTTTGTTATTATCTCTCATTAGACTGCAGTTGCAATAATGTAACGTACGATTTCGCAAAGATGCTTAATCTTTTTAACTGATTGCGGAATGGAGGGTAATGTTTTCAGAGTCTATGGCTGTTATTGTTTAAACGTTTTTAGTTGTTTAGATCAGTCTTCCTCTTACATTTTCTTTAAAAATGTTCTCTCCGTTTTTTTCTAACAATATCTGGTAGATAATAGTATTGTTACTGGTATTCTAAGGTCACCTCGTAAAAATCGATCTGATTCCTCGAGTCGTGACTGGCTGCGGTCGTGGCTGCGCACGCGCCGTCTCGGGGCCGCTCGAGAAATATTTTCAACTATTCCCTCTACGCCACTGTCATATGCTCCATTGTTGTCGGCACCGTGATTTATAAGGCATAACACCGTATCGTACCAATTCCAAGGCAAATTGAGCAAGCTTTGCTGTCTTGTTTGGTGATACAAGCTAAGTCGAACTATGGAAACACCTTACAAAACACAAAAAAATCTCACCCTTGAAACCTTTACAACCTTCTGGCCAATTAGTAAACATTTCCGCGTGTTGATCTCAAATTTTATCACACACATTTTATCTGTGATACAAATATTTCATAAAAAGTCGTTACTGTCTGCGTAAGTGCAGCTTAATATGGAATTTAACGGCCCTTAAGATAAAGGAAGTGGTCTAGTTATTACTAGAGCAAGCCATAAAAGCAGTTTCGACGTAAATGGCACACAACCGAGCCGGTTGATACCTTCGAACCGTTCTCAAGATTCTAAAAATGCAGATGCGTTTTTTGTTAAAGACATGCCGCGTGATACGCTTTGTTATGAGCGCGCTTTCGTTTCTTTGTCAGTTTACAACTTTCTTGTTTCTTTGTTTCGTAATTTCACAAACTGGTCCTATCCAGTGTTATTGTAGCCACGTAATCTTCCGTGTAATGGCCGCTGTTAGTTCTCATGTCATCTGTTCGTAATTGCTATTACCGCATCTTGAAATTTTACTTTTCGCATGACATTTTTCGTGCGTACGTGTCGCTGTGTGTTTGTTAACATTTTGAACTCGTACGTTGCGTTCTGGTGTAACGAATGCGACGTGTTTTGGATAGCTGTAATTAACCTTTTCTTTCTTTTGTTCCAGGTAAGATACTTGTAAGTGACTAGCTAACTGGGCGAGGCCCGAACCGAAAGGTTTTCGATCGGATCGCGGCGGTGGGCGGTGCGCTCCCGATGAGGTAAACATCAATTAGCTGATTTTAGATAGATAATCGTCGCTATTAGTTAGTTCTGTATTGTTTAATATGAACGTGTCTTGTGCAACGAGTTTCAAAATTTTTCCGCTGTTCTGGTGTTACCTTTTGGTGGTTTTCGGAGCGTGGCGGATAATAGGCAACCTTAGATTGCGCCCGAGTCCTTCGCTCGGAGTCGTGCGAGGAAAAGCTGCATATTTTAATAGCGCATTTTGTAATTTTTGGGCAATTACCCTAACGGTCGTTTAGATATCTGATCATTGCTCGAAGCAATTATATTCAAGGTGAAATAATATTCGCTAAATGAGTGCACACGTCGTTAGTTTGCGACAAAGGGTGGTTATTATCGTCGGTCGCGGTGATTAGCGCCGGGAGATGCGCGCGCGACTGTTCGCAGCGATCGTCTATTGTTTAGCTTCGGCGTGACAGTTGCCACACGCCAAAACATAACTGTCATTACAATTGTTCGCGGCTCTCTACGTTTATCTAGGAATAGTCGAGATCTCTATTAATCTTAGTGCTAGCTAGTGCCTACTCCTTTTTGCTATTCCTCGGCCAGCACGAGCCGGATACGGTTTTTTGTCGACGGACGCTGTGACCGCTGACGTAAGCCCGTGTTTATCATCGTCGCATGTAAATCATCTTGATTTCAAAGATAAATGGAGTGAATGTTTTCAAACAATTTACACGACTACCGTCAACGCGTGCTGCTGAGTGATGCCGCTATAAAATAAGCCATATTTGTTGACTTCAGAGTTGGAGTTGGACAACTATTCTGATATTACGATATTATTTGACAAGTAATTTATCAGATACGCAAGCTCGGAATTAATTTTAGCTTTCCTCCTTTTAGTATTGTGATTCACGATAAGTGGACAGTTGAGCATCGTTATGGCGAGGGTTATAGAAGGTGAGCAGCATTCGTGGCGCGGTGTGTCATAGTGTGTTTATAGTGAATTCGATTATACTCGTAGCTGCATCGATGCCTTTTTTATTTCAAATTCATTGTTCATTACGATTATCGCGATCGCGAGCCTTGATCTTTGATGCCTGTCAATAAAACAAGCATCAAGTTGAATTTATTTAACATGCTCAATTCAACTACATACAATCGTAAACTCGATACTATGTATGTTAAAAGCTTATCGCAATAAACATTTGATATTGTTCTCTGTATTGAATTAGCAATGAGATTTAATTTTGAGATCAGTTTTTAACGTCAATAAACAACAAAAAGATAATAATTGTAGCAGGATTTACGTCATCGTATTATTTTTTTAGAATCAAATTCAAATCATTTGCATAACGTGTGTGAATCTAAAACTAAATGACACATCATTACCGTTTGCTTATTCAAATCGGAATGCTAATGATGTTTCCCTCTAGATCAAAGGTTAAGAGATCACGTTTGATAATAATTTCACGGGCAGACATTATTTATCACGGACTCCATCAACACAATGGTGGTGATAACATTTTTTACTGCCGTCTGGTTTTACTCACGGATATACAAAAAATACCATCAAATTTATTTGCCACATCCGTGTTTTATAATTGCTGGTTGTTTTCTCACGACTTATGAAAAACCGAAGTACAGTCGCCGTCAAATAGTTCGTGACACCCGAGGCCAAATAAGTAGTTGATAACTCTAATAAAAACTCATAAAATTAATTTATTTTTGCAAGTAGGCTTTTAAGCACTTTTACACGTCCCAGTGTATTAACCCTACCACTGCTTCGGGACAATAATGGGCCAGTGCTGAGAAGAAGCAGCGCAAGAAACTCAGTCACACAACCTTTGGCTACGTTAGGTGTTACGAATTATTCGACGCTGACTCTACACCGTCATTGACTGTTTGTTGAACTCGCGAAAGCTTAGAAGTCTAGAGCACACAGGAACTAACGAGATGATTGCCAGTGCATGTTTACAGTGTTATGTCACGTTGGACTTACGAAGGCTCCACCAACGGCTTCTATTCCGAACCAGAGACTATCGGAAGGGGGCAATTTATGGTCTTACATGACGCAATATGCAGCACCAATAACTGCGGATATCATTTCCCGCTGACACTTTATTCTAGACTCTGATGGGTCTGGCTTTCTCTTGAGAATTAATTTGCTATGACTGCCTATTAACGGTGGCACTGCATGAGTAAAATCTGTACCTATTTAATGAATATTTTACAAAGATATTTCACTATTTGAAAGGTATATTATTCTTGATAAACACATACTGTTGTTGTGTAAATTTACAAGGGCGAAGCCGTGGGCAGAAGCTAGTTAAGCATAAATACAAAGCCGCAACGGCGGTGTTTAAAGTAACAAAATTATTAGCTTCTGATGTCCTTGCTGAGTCAGTGTTTAACAATTCATTCAAATGTAAATTCTCGTTTTTCCCATAATTCACTTGTAAGATTACGTAGTTTCTAAGTACTAATTAAAAAGTCAATCGTTCGTACGTGATATAATCGGAGTAGAGCCGGCTCGGTCAACGGAATTCGCATCGGTCACGTAATTTGTTGACAGAATGTATTAATTAACATGTCATCCACGTACGTCTGCGTTTGTTGTTCCGTTATCCGAGTGACATGGTCGAATATTTTTAATAGATTACGCACATGATCGGTATTTTTAACACTACCGTATAGGATTTACGGTTTTCCCCGAAGATCACACGTTTGAAGGAATCACTGTATCATGAGAACAATTACAAATAATACCTGCGATGACTAATGCCTCAAAACGCGGTGTTGCAATTCAATTAGGAAGGGAATTGTTAGACTCTACATAGAGCGTGCCTAATTCTGATCGAGACCATGTTATGTTATACTTTGTTCTAGAATTGTTATGATTGTTGACACCAACGCGATATTACTTACGTGCTTCTACTATTTTGAGCAATAAAATTGGGATTTGAACTGGTTTTATCGTTCGTATGTTACTTAACCAATTTTTATTGTTTTTGTGTCGTATTTACCTATATTATAATACGCGTTAGTTGTGAAAAAGACTACTAATGAATAGGAAGCTGACTTGTTATAATGTAATTAATTTTCTTCCGTCTGTTAATAAATACAAAGTAAAGTTTTTGTCCCGATTTCTCTTGTTATTGTTGCTAGAGGCTGTTGCGTTATTTTCTAGTGCCGAGATACATGCGGTTAGCTTTTACCGATTAGCATGAATGAGATGTCACCGTCTTATTTCAACGCTATTACTAACGCCTATTCGTTCATTCATAAAAACCTACGCGAGGTTTTCGGAAACATAAAAATAATACGTCTGAGCAATTACGCGTGGGCTTGTAATAGTGCAATTATTACTGTTAATCAAAACAATTGATGTTTGTTTTTGCCAAATGTTCTGAGAATTATAAAGTAAAATTTAATTGTATTTTGTTGTGTTTAAACAGCGATTCAAGGAATGGAAATTGTAAAGGCACAGCTGAAACTTTTGTTATCGTGTTCTCACAGGTGTTTCTGCGCGTCATTGAGTTTCGCGTCGAAGGCTGGTCTCTGTGAAACTTTGAGTCTAATATTGTGTCGCGACTCGAGCTGCATTGTTTCTGGAGTCGCGTAGGCATTGTGCCGCGTGAGATCTGGGTCGGGGACCGCGGGATGCATGATTGGCGTCGCACCATGTAAGACTAGAATCACGCACATAATTCTAAAACACTCTTACATTTTCGGTTAAACGGCTGAGGCTGCGGCTGTAAACACTTCGTAGACACTCTTCAGTCGCACATCACACGTCGTGCTGGTTATGCTTCCGAGTCACTTCACTTGAGTTTTGTCACTGTTCGATCACTGGCACATAGTGGGGACCGTTCGTGGCGTGGCTTGGAGTCGTAATGGTGGTTCCCGAGGGTCACCGCGCCGGTCAGTGGTGGGGTGCACGTGTGATCGGCAGGTCGCGCGGCGCATGAGTGGCGGCGGTGGTAGGGGGAGCCGGTGTAAATACGCCGGCGTAGCGCGTGCGCGCCGCCCACGCACACCGCTCTGCGCCCGCGCACACATGCGTACTAAGCGGCGTAGATACACAGCGTGACGTGCGACAACCGATGCTCGATTAAACACTTAAATAATATTGATGGGAGATCCCTGATGCACGCGGATGTCGTAGGCCAACTCGATCGAGGTATGCGCTTGAATTATGCATCGGGTGTAAGGGTTTCGACGCGGATATCTCATATTAACTCGCAATTCGGTCACGTATACCGGATTCTGTAATTAGAATTCCTGGAACTATTTGAACACTAAATACATTTAAACACCTCATTATTTTGGCGTTATGTAAGATGTAGCCTGAATGCAATTGTGATTATTCATAAAGATACCTTGATGAAAACACAGTCTTGTTTACAGATTTGTTTATATCTTTTCAAGTAAAATTTCTCTCCATTTTAATTTAATACAACATACGCTAACACCATAGGTATAATATATCAGCGTCAAATGTTAGGCTAGGTAGGTGAATTAATTAACCATGGGAAATCCGTTTTTTTAATGTTTCAAATCCGTTGGAAAATACCTGAACCGTAGGTCATGTTTGTCTTTTACAATCACGTTTCGCTTTTACAATCACGTTTCGCGTGGATGAAACGTGTTATAAGTACCATGTATACTGATTGGCAGTTATTAACCATCATACCATCAATTTTTCGCGCATGCACTTCCCCTAAACCACGGTCACCGGATTGTTAAGGTTGCTACACACATAAGCGGGCCGGCATTTATCGGCAAGAAGCCGCTCGTAAATGTCAAATGTAGATAGATGGATGTTCGGGAAAAAGCCGCTCGGCTTTGCCGCACATAATAACTCTATCCACTGAGCTGAAAAAGTGTAATAATAATCCCTTATTACTACACTTTTTCAGCGATTATTCTATTGCCGTGTTCCAATGATACACAGTCTCCGATCTACTGGAGCCTGGAACGTGTGAAGACAACAAACATCAATGAACGTCTTTTGAGGCCTTAAGCAAAATGTTGATACTGGGCCCTTTCAAGGAACGCTACGTCACTGGTACTAATGTAGTAAGTTTCCTCAGTTAGTCTTATGCCCGTTTTTACCATAAATCCCTAATTTTTAAGTGACCCCTATGTAAACATAATTCCTGTTATTTGTTACCATAGGGGTCACTTAAAAATTAGGGATTGATGGTGAAAACGGGCATTAGTTTTTCAAAACCGAACCCGCATAAGTGTGTAGCACCCTAGCCGCGATGTGGCTGCGCCAGCGCCGAGTCATCGACACCGCGGCGTCCTCGGAAGGTCGCTTGGCCATCATCGGTGCCCAATTTGCATATATTATCTCCGTTTTTTTTCCTTATCAACATGTTATTGAATTATGTTTATCAACCCGGATCTATTTTTATTGGTGCCATTAGATTTTTTCACTGAAATTCCTTGCATGCGTCAATAATTGGAAATTTGGAATATTTGATTTATTTTAGTGATATTATTTTTTGAGCTAATCCTAGATTTTTATTTATGGTCTTACTTTTTGAAGTTAAAATTTTAACATAATTATGGCGTTTTTGAGCTGCTTAAGGTATTATATGGTTTGTTGCAATCTTATTCTTACTCTATGTAATCTCTCATTTTGTTTTCAAGAATCACCATTTGCCAGCAAGCCAAGAACCCAGTCTCAATTATTTAGATTTAGGCATATAACATTCTTGGAAAATTCGTAGTCATCTATGTGACATTGGCATTGTGTTAGGAAAATACAACATTATATAATTTTGACATTTGACTTTGTTGTGACTGCAGTAAGTATTTGGAATTTCCTTTTTCTTACTGTAGTTTTAGTGCATTGGACGTTTTCCGACTAAGAAGAAAAGACGAAGGTAATACGAATAATATTTGAATTTTCCTGACAGACACTAGTACCTAGATAAGGGTAGCAGATGAAGTCCCATTTCATTTTCATATTCAATTGTTTATATCATCCGCTGTCTTAAATTATAAGGTCAGACAAGGTCAGTTAAGGTCATAAATTGCTCCAGTAAGCCTCTGATTTTTATTTCTTCTTTCCCCGAACCGTGTTTGGGTGGTGCGCATTCCGCGCCAGAGCGGCGCGCGCGCATCGCCATAACTCGATGGCACTGCGCATTTTGAGGTTACGAGGTGAGGTATTCAGTGTCTGGTTTTACCGAATATTATTATGGCGTCTAGACAAATTGTCATTGATAATATGGTGAAGAATGTATAATCAATTTCTTAATTTTTGCTTCAAAAACAAGTCATAAT